CGGTACGAACTACGTCGGTGCAAAACGTATTCTATCGGAACTACATGAGCTCTTAGCTAGCAAGTATTATAATTCGGAGTTCGCTCACATTCTAGCCGAGAACCGCATTGAGTGGTCTCTGAACGTCCCAGCCGCGAGTCATTTTGGAGGCAATTGGGAGACTAATATTAAGAGTCTAAAGAGTCACTTATACCGAGTAATAGGAGATCAAATTTTGTCCTTCGAAGAGCTAAGTACGGTGCTCGCTCAAATTGAATGCGTAATGAATAGCCGCCCAGTTTGTCGTACATTGTCTAGCGACCCCTCGGAACCGCTGGCTCTAACTCCAGCACATTTTCATTTTTCATTTAACGCAAAGTATTTGCCCGCCGCAGATATGGATGAGAACAGACTTAGCATTTCCGCACGCTACAGATTATTAGACCGGTTAGTGCAATCGTTTTGGAAACGATGGAGGATGGAATACTTGCATACTTTGCAGTCTCGGCAAAAATGAACACAGCGACTGAGCCTTTAGCTGTAGGAACTGTAGTTGTGCTCACCAAAGAGAATACGCCGCCTCTCCACTGGCCGTTAGGAATTGTCGAAGAGGTCTTTCCTGGTTCCGACGGAGTAATTAGGATAGCTCGCGTTAAGACCACGGTTGGGTCTTACCTGCGTCCTGTTGTCCGTTGTGCCCCTTGCCTCTTCCATAATTTAAATTAGCTTTCTAGATTAAAAATTGTAGTTGAATTTAGGTAATCTTAGCGTAATTTTTAGTTATTTTTTGAAGGAATCCTTCAAGGGCGGGGGAGATGGTTGCACGGAAAACCATTCGTACGAGGGTGGATTGAAAAGTACTCGGCCTAACCAAGAAAATAAACACATACTAAATCAGTTATATTTTTATTTTTCTACATATTCACCAAGTTCAATATACTTTTGCCACCTCCCCTTCCAAGCATTTAGACCGTTGAAAAAAATGATTCTTCCTTAGAGTCAAAATATGCGTCTACAGCTGCTTTGACCTCGTCGTTTGTCGAAAATCTTTGACCTCCCAAGTGATTTTTTAGGTTAGGGAACAGAAAGAAGTCTGATGGTGCCAGATCAGGTGAATACGGCGGATGCGGTAACAGTTCAAAGCCACAGTTGTGAATTTCAGCCATTGACTGTACTGACGTGTGAACACGGGCGTTATCTTGATGAAACAGGACTTTTCTTCTGAGCATTCCTCGACGTTTTTCTTTTATTTCCTCTTGTAAACGACGTAGTAAGGTGCAGTAGTAATCAGAGTTTATAGTCTGACCCCTTTCAAGATAATCAATCATAATCACACCTTTCGAGTCCCAGAATACTGAAGCCATCACCTTATTTACCGACAAAATCGACTTAGCCTTTTTAGGGGGTGGTGAACCAGCTCTTCTCCACTGTTTTGATTGTTGTTTTGTTTCCGGTGTACAGTAATGAACCCATGTTTCGTCCATAGTAACAAAACGATTCAAAAAATCATCTGCATCGGCTTCAAATAACTCCAAACAGTCGCGTGAAATAGTCAATCGCGTCCTTTTTTGTTCAACTGAAAGCAGTCGCGGAACCCACCTCGCAGACACCTTGTGGAAACCCATCTCGTTGACAATGATGTTTTGAGTTCGTTCATAAGAGATGCCTATAATCTCGGCTATCTCTCTAATTTTTAATCTGCGGTCTCCCATTATTAAATCAAGTACTTTTTTAACATTTTCGTCAGTAGTTGACGTCGAAGGCCTTCCAGAGCGGGGTTCATCTTTCACACTCTCTCTACCACGCTTAAATTCTGCTATCCATTTTTTAACGGATGAATATGACAGAGCACAATCGCCTAATGTACTGACCATGTCATCATGGATGGCTTTTGATGATAGCCCCTTCTTATGGAGGTACTTAATGACGGCACGCTGCTCGATTTGCTCCATTCGCGGAAATTATGTCCGATTACTTTGTTAATAAATTTATAAAATCACAACTCAAATTATCGCACACGTTTCGAACTTCACACAATGAACTAATCTGAACTGAACTAAATAATGTGGGTAGATTTGATTTTTAGAATTGAATTGATCTGTGTTAGGCCGAGTACTTTTCAATCCACCCTCGTATTTATTTAATTTGACGGTAGGCTGCCAAATCGGTTATCCCATACCCTCCTATCGACACATCGGGGTGGTGGGGTGGGAGGGGAAAGAAGATGATTCTACTATGTCACATAATCATCGGAACCGAGGATATATAAGGCACGCGCGACCGACGCGTAGCCTCTTCCTGCCGCACTCGTCATTAGAACCACATCACTAGTAGAAACCGCTTTAGCCTGGAAGCAATCGAGCTCCAGGGAACCCGCCTCACCTCGTGTGAGATATAGTCGCGCACCGCCTCTCTCCGGAGTGTTCCAGAAGAAGTTCCAGAAGTCGAAGTTATAGTGCTCGACCGCATAGAAGAAACATCCCGGTGAGTCAATATCCAATATTATAGCCTGCTTGATATAATTGTTTTAACCCGCTCCAATTTTGTGTTTTCCTAATCCACTTAGATTAATAGCTCGCGTAATAGGTTTAAGGTTCGACCGGGGAACTAGACTTCGGCAACCTTAGACACGTGGCTCCACCAGTTATATTATTTAGTTTATCTGATCCATAATATCAGCAGATCTGTACATAGCAATAAAATTGAGGTGTCTGTCTGTAATATCGAAATAAGCAACTTATTGAGCTGCGAGGGTTGTTTGCAAGCAGTTAGTACACCAATAACCATTGTCAAAATGTTGTCTATCCAGTATAAACTTTGAAATGGCTGAATTAATTGTGATGAAACTTGACAAATAGATATAAACCAAATCCATTAGTAATCAAGGCTATTTTTTTTTTCTGAAAAACTTGAAGATTTAGACAATTTTGCTCATGTTGCTAATCACATGGTTTAATTGTCGGGTTAACTTTGTGTGTAGTACCTATTAAACCAATTTAGTACAAACTTCTTTCATTTATTCTCTCTAGGTTACTGTTTTCCCTATCACATAGTGGCCCACAAAAACTATGTGCAATATAGGAAAATGCTTTTAATAAAATTATTGAGTTATTATTTTCACATATAACAGGTATTATAATTCTATCTTTTAACACTTACAGTTTTATTGTAAAATTGTGATGAAGAAAAAAATAATGCATTAAACTTTGACAGATAGAAGGTAAAGTGTAAGGATCTTTTTGTGTGTTTGTGCAAACAAAAAGTGTTACTTTTTTATATCTCATAAAGTTTATGAGATAATCATTAAAAACCATGTATTTAATCAGATTTTCACTAAAAAAATTGCACCTTTTAGATAAAATATAGCCTATATTACTTCTAATATTGTTTACTATCTTTTGAAATGAAATGAAATTAAATATTTATTTGTGTTTGTTTAAGGTGCACTGAAGATGATCACATTAATTAAACATCCACTTAATCATCCAATATTAATGGCATACAAATCCTACAACTATAAAATGCCGAGATAATAATATTTATGAGTGTCATGTCTATAATAACAAAATATCAACAAGTAATCAATAAATAGGTAATAATTAATAAAGATTTCACAATTGGCCCAGTAAATTTGTATCAGTTATGTTGCTATTATCTATCACAGTTTAAATATTCCTATACAGTGTGAAAAGCCTTTTCACATGTATTAAGTATGTATATTTCTCTTTTTATTTCAATAAAAGGTAGGTCTTGAATTACTTGTGATATCTTATTATATACTGTCATACACATCACATTTATGGAATCTCCCACTCTTGGGAACTATAGCGGAAACCAACCTATTCCTATGTCTAGTGCCTCGTTTGTAGAAATCTTTGGCTTGTATGAAATAATACATATAGTTACTTACAAATTTCTCCGCTTCAAAAATATATAGACAAGGAAGTGTCAAAATGTTCCAGGATTTAAGCAGACTGACATAGTTCGTTAGGTAGGTTTGTGAAGGTCAATTACAATAAGTTATAAACCATTTTAGAGGTTACCCTCAGACACACATTTTTTAAATATTGTAAATAATTCATTTCTTAATAGCATGCAATTTAATATTATGTAAGAGCCAAACAAAACCTGTATTATGACTGCAACATGAATGGGTAAGCTCAACAAAAGAACCACTCTCACAGAATGCCAACTTAAAATAGCAGCATAGTGTTGTTTTTTCTTAAGTGGTAAAAAGGCATTCCATCTTTGTCCTTAGCAGTGACAACACATCTGCATTTTGATTCTTAGTTGATGATAGATATAGGTGTCTATGGGTCCACAGCACTTACATGTGATGTGTAAGTTCATGCTGTATCTACTTACATCACATGGTGTGTGTCCATGAATCTCATCCTTATTTCAATAATAAAATAGTGACAGAACATTCAGTATGAAGCTACTGATATTTATATACAACACTAAAATTTTGCCAGCCCAAGAGTTTTATTGAATTTTGGTTTGCAAGTAGCCCTAATCAAAATAATATCATGTCGAGTCTCCCTTATAACATTAAAAGCTTGTAAGGAGCTTTTTACACTTGGTGGGCTCAAAACCTCTCCTACCCCCACCACTATCCCCTATTTCCTGGAGCCTGCTCTTGTCATATTTTCAGGGAACTTATGCTTGTTATTCTTTAATTCAGTGATTAAAGTCTGAATAATTCCTAAAAGCTTTTACTTCAGGTTGAGATGCAGACAAATTAAATTTATTCTCCTGGAGAAAATTAAAATGGCTATAGATCCAACATTTGACTAGAGAGAAAAATTATACTTTTGTGACTTAAATAAAAAATTGGATCTACAAATAAAGAAATGTAAATGTCAAAGAATATAACTAAGATCGCAAAATCCAAAAATTTTGAACTTAATCTTGTTACAAAATCTTATTTACTATTATAAAAGTAGGAATATTTGTAAATACTCAAAAAATAACAATACCTTGTACTTGTACTGACCAAGACACAATTAAAATACACTTACTTAGGCTCATCCGACCTCCAAAAATAGACCCCTTATCAAAGGCATCCTTCCACTTAAATGGAATCTGCACTTCTTGTGGTGGGATCTTGGTTTCCAGAGATGTGAGTTGGTCATAGTAACTGCGGAAAATGGTTTACATTATCATTTATATGCTAGTGTGATTTGTATATTTTCTTTGCAAAATAATCATTTGTTAGAAGATACAATTCAGAGCATAAGAAATACTCTTAATTGCATATTTACTTCAATGATTCAATGATACGGGTGACTCATTACACGCTAATATACCTGTAAATAATTTCTAGTGAAGACTTCTCGAAAACCTTCCAAATAGCATTGGTTCTTAGGCGCCCAAGTTCTTCGACAGCATCGCTATAATCTTCATTGTTTCCTCCGGTGTTGTACGTAGATTGAATTAAATTCTTCAATGGTTTCACGATATCTACGTCTGTAGATTTCTTTAACGGAACAACTAACAAGTCAGCCATTTCTGCTACTGACAGCCATGAATGTTTGTGTGAAAATTGCTTGTTGATTATGACAGTGACAGGTATTATTTTTAATTATGATTTTTGCCTTAGAAGCTTGTTTTTTAAGTCATTTCTGTATTTCATTCGGAATCTTCGTTTTTATAGATTTTTCTTCACACTTTACTGATACATCACATACGAATTAGAGATTTTGACGACAGCTCAACCCAGCGCACAGTTGATGACAAGAGAAAAAAACTTGTACTGGAGAGAAAAAAAATATTTGCTCGAACCATGGACGTACTCGAATGCTACTGGACTCGAGTCACTTGGCTCTTAATCGCGTTGTCAAGTCAATCGCATGTACATCGTATTTTAAAACCAACAAATCGTCTCGTCATTTATTAACTATTTCATTTCAATAATGAATTAAAACTAGTCCACTACAGTACTGACTTTCTTATCTAGGTGATTGCATTACTACGATGAGGACTATAATGAATATAATTCTAAATGGCTTCAAGATTGTTAAAACAAGTCTGTAGACTGAAAGTATGACACCTTGGTTAGCAATAACAAAAATTATACAGTGGTGTCAGCGTCTTCTGTAACGTTAAACTTCATAACATTTAATTGTTAATGATGGTCGAGAGTAAAATGTAAATAATGCAATTTAGATTATCACCTTTTAATGGATACATTGAAAGACACGAATTGTCTTATTTTGGCACGGAATAGCATTTAATGATGTTCCTAAATTGAAGCCCACGCGAGCGAAGCCGCGAGTAAAAAGCTAATTAATATATTTATTTCTATTATTATAATATTTTAATTTACAAGATAACGATACAAAAACGTTATAGTACGGCCGCTGAGTTATTACCGATTCGACAGATTATTCTTAAATTAATCGATATAACCTTGCACGAGCGACACATTTGCCGAATGATTTAGTATACCTCTTTAATATAAAACTTTATGTCAAAATGTCAGAATCAAGTAATTTTCCAATAAACTCTGTTTCAAAACTTAAAATAGTTTGTAAATAATATGAAAACATTTATTTTTTGTTCTTTGGCGCGCTTGTACAAAGTTACATCGTGCGTCTAGTTTTCATAGTGATGTGCTTGATAGTATTCGGTCCGAATTCATTGTAATATGTAGATATGATATTTATTTTATTTGGATATTTTTATTTTACTTATTCCTTCGAGCAACTAGACTATAATACTACCATTTTTTTGAGTCTCCTAATTGCACTGTGTTGCCAGTATCTCTATGATTTTTAAGATTTTTGTGTGATCCAAAGACAGAAATACTGTTTTCTATGATTTAATAATAAATACAATTAAAATGATTATGTATAATTTTTAACATTCATAATATATAAAACAACATTTAATAAATATAATTTTCTCCCTCAATTAAGCAATGTTATAGGTGTATTTTTTTAAGTAATTGGCGATAATATTCTGGCAACACCCTTACCACCGCTATTTTAATCTGTTTAGTCGTCTTCTGTACTCTCGCACAGACTACGTTCTCTTGTGTAACCGTTGTGTTTTGACTCGGCTTTCTCCTGTTTATCGTTGCGCTTTATTGGACTAATTTTGTTTGTGTTTGGTAATTTTGTTGAAAATGCCGAAACGAGGAAAACATTGAATAGTCAATGTCGTGAGCTTGTACTAAAGCTACAGGATTACTTTGAGCGTGAGTCACAAAATGGCGACCCTTTGATTCCTGTCACTCAGTAATCGGGTTTCACAAGCTCTTGGAATTGGTGCAAAAACACTATATAATATAAATAAAGAAAAATTTGGTGCTTCTGGAAGTGGAAGATAATGTTTTACGCACTCCTAAGAAAAAACGAAGACAAAAGCCCGTGACAGGTATTGATGTTTTTGATGCAGATGCAATAAGAAACCACATATATGATTATAATACTAGGAACGAGTTTCCAACTAGACGTTTGCTTTTGGTCTCTTTAAAAGAAGCTGGCTTGTTTAAAGGCGGTAAAACGGCGTTGTCAAAAATATTGCACGAAATTGGGTTTGAATATAAAAAAACGAGTAAAAGGAAAATATTAATGGAAAGATATGATTTAATAATTAAAAGAAGCGAGTTTTTAAGAGAAGCCAGAAAAATCGAGTCTTGGGACAATGTCGTTTTTGTAAACGAAACATGGTTAAATGCGAACCACACTGTGTCACGCTCTTGGACTGACGAAACAAAAGCATCAACCTCAAAGGTTCCAATTGGAAAAGGATCGCGACTGATAATTTGTCACGCCGGTTCTGCTGGAAGTGGTTTTTTTGAAAATGGACTGCTGGCTTTCGCGTCAAAAAGTACTTCAGATTACCACGAGGAGATGGATACAGACACTTTTACGAATTGGTTCGAAAATCAATTATTACCCAGCCTGCCAGAGCCTTCTATCATAATAATGGACAACGCTTCATATCACTCGAAACAAGTGAATAAAGCGCCTACTCAGGCCGACAAGAAAGCTGATCTCGTAGCATGGCTACACCAAAATGGAATTGAAACTACTGCCGAAATGCTAAAGTCTGACTTAGTAAAGTTGGTACGCGAAAATAAAACATCAAGAGTCCGTTATGAAGTAGATGAGATAGCTCTAGCACATGGACATCGGGTACTTCGAATTCCGCCTTATCACTGCCAGTACAATGCCATTGAGCTAATATGGGCACAAATCAAAGGTATTGTTTTTTATCGCATAAGTTATGAATATGAATAATTTGTACTATTATAACATCCAATATTCAGCATATAAGTAAAAAGATACATAATTAAGAAATAAATATCTCATGTCCCTTACATGTAGGTAATTGTGTAACATTTCGTTTATTTAATGTAATAAATTAACGTTATTTAATGTTTACATTACAGGTTACGCAGCTCGTAATAATACGACTTCGCCATTCGGTACTAATAAAATGATCTGCTCTATTCATTAAAATGTGTAACAGTGTTTACAAATTTGTTTTATTTTGATATGCCCTCGACCAATTATCTACGCCCATCAAGGATACTCCACCTAATAAAGAACCTGTGTCTTTAACTATTATTGTTTTGATTTTATTTAATTACACACTATACTAGAATATTTAAAAACAAACTGTTCCCAAATGATATTAGGGTTACTGGTTCAGTCACTTCACTAGTATTGTCAATTCGTCATGTGTTAAATCGGTAATAACTCAGCGGCCGGACTATAATGTAAGAAACGTGTGTAAGCTAGTAATATTAGCCGTCTAGCTAAAATACCTAATTTGGTTTTTTTTGAAGTGAAACTTTTTCATCGACGTAATGGAGAAATTTAGTACGATATTAAATAAAGAAATCACGTTTTCTTGTAACATTTGCTTAGTTCAAGTTTTATTACTCATGCACCACCAGGGTGCATGAGTAATAAAATAAAAAAAGAATGATCTGTTGCAAAGAAGTTTCACTACCTACGTGTGTACACAATTACACGCACAAATTATTAACACTGTGCTAGAATCTATGCTAGAATAGGTAAAGTTATTTATGTACTTGCATTGATTTCACGCAGCGAAAGAATAAAGTGGATATGCCTCAAATCCCGAGATTAATTTTAAATAGCAGAAAAATCCTATAATTTACTAAATAAAAAAATTATTTACTTTTACACAATCTAAACCATTGCGCGCGCGACGTTGCCATATTTACATCAACGACATCGGATGTCCGAACTAGCAAAATTTAAATGCGCACACGCATGATGTTGCATATAGTTCGCACAACATAGCTTGTTAAAACTTGACCCATTCCTCCCCAATGTCATATTTTTAGGACACTATTAACAAATTTTTTTTTACGTATTAGGACTTTTATTTTTATTATTTCTGATGAAATTCATATTTTTAAACTACTTTTCTAATAAAATAATTTTTTTTCGCAGTAAAAAATGTTTACGAAATTTTAATATAATTTTTAAAAATTGATCATTTTTGTTGACTGAAGGAGAGCATTGAGTTCCGATTGTATATACCGTAAAACAAAAACGTTAAATACTTCAAAGTACAGAAGACTTATTCTTAGATCTCCACCAAATATTAAAAGAAATAAAAACAAAAACAAAAAACAATTTGTGAACATAATTACGTTAGCTGCGGCCGGAGGTTCGAAAAAAAAAACCAAATTTACTTATAAAATATATTTAAAACAAAATTACAAATTATGTTACTATAGCTAATTAATCTAACAGAAAGAGCCTGGTGTAAATTAGTACGTGATATTTTATACATCCGGCACGTGGCTTGAATTGCTGCGCCTGCATTCCTGTCGGTTTACATAGCAACTGTTCTAGGTGTAGTAGTCAGCGATCTTCATATCATAGGTATATGTAACTCCTCCACCCTCGGAACGGCAACTATTTGAGTATGTTCAGGGAAAATGTTGCCGGAATTTCGGAGTTTCCATGATCTTCTGAATTAGGTGTTGGTGATTGCGCTGCTTTGCTCGTTTCCTTTCTGCATCTTGATATGTGGCGACGGGTGGCTAGTACAAAGATAAGGATACCTCCACTCGATAATATGATATAAAAGGGAATTGTCGTATGATATAATGTGTCACTTATGGCACGTAGTTGTACTGGTGATTGCATGAGAATTTTGTCTTGGATGCTGTGTAATCCTTGTAGATAGATTGAGTTTAGGTGGATGCGGGTAGATGCTGTAGCTTGTTCCAGAGATCTGAAAGGTAGTCCAGTGAGCTTTAGAGGTTGACCTTTTATCTCATTATTGTGGTTGACGATGGTGAACTCGGTAGTTTTAAGAAGACAGCTGGCTGGAATCGTAATGAGATAACTCCCTTGTAGCATGGTGAATTCTTTTCTTCCGCAAGACAATTGTACCTTGGTATAGTGTGGAAAGGACAGGACATGCTGGTCATCTAGTTTTTCCATCGCTTCTTTTGACAGGATGATAGTAGTGAGATTGCAGGCTTCTTGTATGACTTGCTTGGTGATCAAC